AGGCCCTCTTCACCTGAGTGAAAAGTTATCCAGGTTCAAAACTTGTTACTCCCTGCAGAACGGACCCACACTCACCTCTGGAGACCATTCTGCAGTTTCCACGGGCCAACCCAACGTCTTTTGAACGTCTTCCCATTGGGAAGCCATGATCTATTGACTGTGGCTTCCAGACCCTCTGAATCTGGGGAATGTGTAGTCTTTTGCCTCTGTCTTCTGTCCTTCTATCTTCTCCAGCAGGCACAGAGGTCCAGCTGTGAGTCCTCCTGGGACAGGGGCAGGCGGGGCAGACCTGGGAGACCTAAATAAAAGTTGAAGCGATGAGTCTGCCGAGCAACTTTTCTTCTTCCTCAGGAAATTACTTCCTTGCATACACATAGCCCTTTCCCCTGGAAGTTAGATGAGCAGGTGACTGCAGTTTATATCAATTAAATGGTGACCTCATTCTGTAATTTACATCTCTCTTCCTTAATGATAGATTTTTAACCAAACTGCTGATGGATAACATTTTTATGGCTTGGCTTTTCTATGTCCATCTTCTGTTTTGCACTCATTTGGAAAGTTTTAGAAAGAAATGTAAGCATTATCCAGAGTAACCATAATGAACAAAGAAGGGACACATTTCTTTTTACTTGAAAAATGTCAGATGAAAGCAGAGCACTGGGGAAGCTGATGAGCAAGGACGTTGGAGTCTACATTTGAGTCTCGTATGACTTTTGTCCATCAGGTCCTGAGTTATTACAGTCAAATTCTTCTTCCTGAAAAAAAAAAAAAGATGAAATTTCGAAGCTCTGCATAAAGCAAAGGAAGCCAGGTGGTACCTAATGCAAAAAAAGGATGTGTTGATAAGGCTTAGTACTTACAAATAGTAGAGCCCTTGTGCCCACACACGTTTGGCCTCTCCCAGGATAATGTCCCACTCCAGGGAGCTGAATCTGATAGAGAGGGGAGGCACCTGCCCTCGCACATCAGTACCACCCATCACCCACCATTCACCTTGTGCATACACTGGGTTTGGACAGATCTGTGATGACATGTGCTCATCATGACAGTGTCACCCAGAGGAATTTCACTGTATTAAATTCCCAGTGATTAAATTCCCACTGATTAAATTCCTATCCATCCTTACCCTCCCAGCTCCATCTCCTTAATGATTTGCTCCCAATCCTGTGGACCACTTAATCTACAGGACCTTGTCCATCAGGAGTGCAGTTTAATCAGTCACAGATTTCTTTTTCACCTCTTATATATTGCAAACAGAGGACACAGTAGTGCATACACAGAAGGGGGTCTCGTCCCCATGGTCCTCTTATCCTGTGGCAGAGTCTTTTCCAACATAGATGCCACCCCTAGAGTCTCCTTTTTGACTTGAAGACAACCCCACCCTTAACAGATCCTCGAGGACAGTCAGCTCTGCCATGTTTTGACATGCAGAAAATTGGTGGTCTAAACAACATCTGCAAGGCATATGCTTGTTGACAATGATGAATACATTGAAGACGCCCATTTGCTTCTTGTTGAAGAAGTTTGTGAGTAATGAAAAACATTGTTCCACACCCTGATTTGACATTTCAAAATGCCATCAGATGCCCAAACTGAGAGCCATGGCAGAATAGTGGTAATGGGCTTGCGTTCACTAGGGTAGCTTGGTATCAATTCTCCTATTTGGTGTTTGACATTTTGTCCTGTATTCTCTACTGTGAAGGATAATTGGGACAAAGTTGTTAAGATTTCTTTTGAATGCATCAAGCTGAAAAATAGCACCACACTCTTTGATTTGCTCACTCAGGAAGGATTTTTTTAAGTATAGGCAGACCTTGATACTGTGCAGAGACATCTGGTCCCTCTCCTCAGAACAGAGGGATATTTTTTCCTGTGGCCTCTTGCAGTTGGGTATGGCCATGAGAATATTTGAGCCAATTAATGGAACAATCATTTGTAGGACTGCGGTCTTCATTTCTCTTCTGCTCTGCTGACTGAGCCTTCATCATCCTAGGTCCTCGAGTAACTATGGTGATGTGTCCTCATCATATTGATACAGGCTGTCAATCAATGTGACATAATTCTATTGCTGTTGCATACTGAGTTTCTGATGTTTGTAGCATAGTCTGGTCTATTCTGATTTGTGCTCCATCCTCCATCAATATTGTATTAAATTTGGGAAACAAACACACAATGAACACAATATTCTCTACCCTCAGGTTCTGGAAGCCTAGTAAAAATGCCTGGCAGAAGCAGCTATGGAGTGGTGTGCCCTGGCCTGGCATGTGGAGCTGCCGTCTGCTGTCACACTGTCATATACATTAAAGAAACCCTGTGCAAACATGTCCCCACTGAGCACACATTTTTTGTCCTCCCTGTTAACAATGTGGGTTCCTTTTGGAAACCTTCATCCTTGACCTGTGGAGCTTCTTAATCCTCTCAACATCTATTCTGTCTACTCCACATCTATCCTGTCTACGGCCACCATGATTCAGTGGAGCAGGTCGGTGCAGAAGCACTGGAACTGCTGTGTTGCTCATGCTCTATACAGAAATGGTCCTTATGGCCAGGGTCATCAAGTGTGGGCACAGATAGAAAGGAAGAGCCATTCATCAAGCAAAGGGGGATAAGCAGAGAAGCTCATCACCAGAGTCATAATTAAGCAAAATTTTAAAAAGAACGTTTTTGAATTTGGAAGATATTTATACTCTTCAGGGTTCTGCATTGTTTTATATAATGATGTTTCTTTCAATGATATTTGAAGTTCAAAGGTCATCAAAAGTTTGAAGTTTGGGTGGTGTTCAATCATTCAACCATGCCTTTGATTAAAATAATTGTGTACACATCTGATAGAAGGTTTATCCAAATCTTGGTGGTATGAATAAGTGAACTGTTATTTTCTTCTGTGTACCTTCAATCAACCCTCCAAATTATCTTTAACTAATATGTATTATTTTTTACGCTCAAGAAAGAAGTGATATGAAATGTGTTAACAGTGCTTTTTACTGACATGCCTCCGCATTATCTGGAAGGTGCTGGGTCTCTCCCACGGGGAAGCACCTACACTGAGAAATGGGACCCCATTGTGGAGCTGGTTTGGCCAGATAGATTGTTCTCATGTGAAATCCAAGCTTCCAGTGGTGCTTCTGGGGGCAGATGGATTGGGGAACTCAGAGGACACATGTGGGTGACGGAGGCAGTGGCCTGAATCTGTTAGAGACACAGCAGGAAACAGTACTCATAAAGCCTATGGTGTTGTAGCTGTGGTCCAAAATATCATGGAAACAACCTTGCTTGTTAAGCATCATTGCCCAGGTAGAAAACTAATTGTGAAATATTTTCAAAGCAAATTTATTCTTTATAAATGCATTGTAAGTTCAGAAGACAGTAAAACTGTCTTATAACAATTGTATTCTTGGTACTGTGTTAAAAGAAGTTTTTTTAAAAAGTCCCGGTTTTATTAGGGTACAATTGTTAATTAAAAGTTGTGCATATTTGAAGTGTCCATGCACTTTGATGATGTGATATATATTTACATTATGAAATGATTACCACAGTCAAGTTAATTAGCATACTTTACATCTTGCATAGCTAAAATATATTTCTTTCCTTTTTTTTAGAGAGAACAATTATCTACACTTGAGCAAATTTCAAGCATGGGATGTCACATTGTGAAGTACAATCACATTGTTCTGCATCAAATCTCTAGAAACTGTTGACCTTGCTGAAGTGAATTTGCACCTCTTGAGGGACATCTCCCCCTGATCCCTGCCACTCTGACTCTGGCATCTGCTCTTCTACTTGGCCTCTGGAGTCTGACTATTTTAGATTCTGCAGGTAGCAGATGGGTGCAGCACTTGTGTTTCTGTTTCTGGCTTGTTTCCCTTAACGCAATGTCCTCCAGTTCCTTGCAGGAACACTTTTTTTTTTCAAAGCTGTGCAGTATTCCACTGTGCATATGCATCATGTTTTCTTAATTCACTCATATTCCACAGTCACTTGGGCTGTTTCTGCATCTTTGCTATTGTGAGGAGTGCTGGATTTCATGTGGGCAAGCAGATTACCTCTTCAGGGTCTGGATTTTGTTTCTTGGGGTGCACACCCAAAGTGGGTCTTCTGGGTCATAAAGTTGTTTTAACATAGCAGATATCATCAGATATTAGCATTGTAACTTTTGAATTAAATACATTTTTAAGAAATGGGTCATATTTTTATTTAATATCAGTTGGTAACTCAAAGGACAACTTTACACGTATAAAAGACCACTCATTCATATCTGAAAACTGTGTTTCTGGGTAACACAGTGGAAAATGAATCTTGCTGATGTGGTCTAATCTGAACATTTCATAAATACTTCTGCTTTTGTTTTTCCTTAAAGCAACAAACAACCTAACAAACACTTATTGGAAGCGACCATGTGATTTCAGCTATGTGAGGTAGATGCTGTTTTTCTTGTTCTTAAAAACAG